AGTCTCTTCTGCTCACCAGTGCTGCATTAATTTGGTCATAAATACAGTACAAATGTGAAATATTATTACAATGTAAAACAGCTGTTTTCTATGTGAATATCTGTTAAACTGTAATTTATTTCTGTGATGCGCAGCTGTATTTTCAGCATCATTACTCCAGTCTTCAGTGTCACATGATCTTCAGAAATCAGTATAATATGCTGATTATTAGAAACATTTCTGATTATTATCAATGTTGAAAACAGCTGTGCTGCACAATATTTTTGTGGAAACTGTGATGCATTTTATTTTTCAGGATTCACAGATGAACAGAAAGTTCAAAAGAACAGCGTTTATTTGAAACAGAAATCTTTTGTAACATTAGAAATGTCTTTACTGACACTTTTGATGACTTTAATGTGTCCTTGATGAATAAAAGTATCAATTGGTAGAGTATATAATGATCAATATGAACTTAAGGGGTTAAATGTATCTCCTAGTTTTGGCATTTCCCGACATACAGACAGGAATTCAGTCCACAAAACGATGTCTGAAAATATTAAATGACTTTTTTCAAATTTTGCCCTTATTTAGGATCTGCACTGCATTGTCAGCCTCCTTAAAAGGAAGAAAGAAAGCCAGTCAGTGAGGTATTTGTGTCACATGACTGCTCACAGCCTCATTGGCTACTGGGTACAAAGTGGCACAATTCCCATAAACCCAAATTAAACCGGAGCAGTGAGCGTTCTGTACTTTCTCTATGAATTCTTCAGCGCTGCTCATCTATGCTTGTCGGGAAAAAGTGAGCTGTCTTAAGTACGTCAGAGATGCTGTTTGATGGGAGCTCCTCGACAAACACAGCAGCACTTACTTTGACAATTTAGTTGTAAAAGCAAGCAAATGTAAGCTTAGAGATTTCAGTTTAATACAGGCTAGAAGTGCTCAGAGAGCTTCCTGCTTTTAATGGATCAAAGAAACATCTCGGAATCTTGCTTCGGAAAAACTGACATTGATTTAGAGGAAAAGTAGAGAAAATATGGAGCTCTTTTTACAAGTAGATAATGTGGAATGTTAAATAATAGAGTTATTTTAGTGTCAGTGAGATATGCAAATATTTTTAATCAGTTTTTTTATTTTTTTTATTTTAGTAATTTTTGTTGTGCCTTTGTCATTTTTAGCAGTTTTTGTTTATTTTATTTGTCTATATAAAACTATATAAACTCAGGATTTAAACAGGCATTATTTATGTCCATATAATTTTTATTTATTTGCATTTCAGTTTTAGTTATTTTAGTACATCAAGTTAAACTAAATTAGGTAAGACTTAAGTTTTTTATATTTTATTATATTTCAGTTGCCATTTATTCAAGAAACAATTTTTTTTCGCTGTCTTAGTTAACTAAAATAAACCTGCAAATCCCAGATTTCTTTTAAAATATGAGATTGTACTGAAACTGTAACTTAAATAATCTTCTTTACTTAATTATAATAAAAAAAAATTGCACTGCTAATTGTAACAAATACTTTTAAGTAATTTATTTATCTTTAAAATAATTTAAAAAAAAAACATTTAAACAGATTACAGTTATTGGCACAATTTTAGTTATCTATTTTTAATTATAATTTTAATTTATTATATACGCTGGGGTGGGAAAATTGTAATTGTTCAGTATTTTGTATTATTTAAAATTGTAATAAATTATTAAATTGTTAAATTGTATGAATTCTACTGATTAAACTTTTAGATTATTAAAACGAAACTAAACCATGAGAAGAAAAACACGGAATTTGGGTTGTGTTGTTCTTTTGGAGAATATAATAAAATGTATCAAAAAATAGAATTCGGGAAAAAACATTGATAATGTTTACTGACTGTTTACAGCAGGGCGCCGATGTAACAATTCCGTAATCTCCATGATTCCATGTCAAAAGCATGTTGCAAAACACTTTCTGCCTAATAAGGTGCATGTGGTTTTATCCCTGTTATACGCCTTAGAAGGAGGCGCAGAGAGCGAGTGTGTGCGGGAACGGCCTGCGCTCACCTTCTCTCCGGGCTGAACACAGACTCCTGTCTCTCCGGGCTGCGCAGACGGCTCCGTTTCTCAGGCTTGCGGTTCTCTGCGTCTCCGCGGCGGGACAGAGAGGTGCTGCCGCTGGCATCCGAGTCCAGAGAGCTCATGGAGCCGCTGATGTGGGAACCGTTGGACAGAAGGCTGCTGCCTGATGGGAAGGGGTCGCTGGATGCAGGGGACAGGCAGCGCGGGACGCCCCCCATCTCTGTGCTGTGCCGGCTGGACGAGCTGCCCGCGGGCGACAGGGGGTCATGAGAGGGCTGGGAAACAGCCGAGTGGAAGAAGAGCCCGCTCCGATCCACCTCGTCCCCGTTCACAGAGCTCTGATTCGAGCACCGGCTCACCATCGAGCCCTCACCTATAGAGTGCAATGGAGAACAGTGACTTCAGGCGGGGTTTTAGCCAGACTAATGTGTATCTGAATTAGGCCTGTCAATTATGGCTGAGAAATCGCCCCCAAAAGATCATTTAAAGTGTTAGATGAGCAGAAAAAAGCAACTTTAGAAAGAAATATTTTGATTGAGCATTGCATAAATGTGACCCTGGACCACAAAACCAGTCATAAGTGTCAATTTTTTTTTTATTTTGATTTATACATCTTCTGAAAGCTGAATAAATAATCTCTCCATTGATGTATGGTTTGTTAGGATAGAACAATATTTGGCCGAGATACAACTATTTGAAAATCTGGAATCTGAGGGTGCAAAAAAATCTAAATATTGAGAAAATCATCTTTAAAGTTGTTCAAATGAAGTTCTTAGCAATGCATATTACTAATCAAAAATTAAGTTTTGATATATTTACGGTAGGAAATTTACAAAATATCTTCATGGAACATGATCTTTACTTAATATCCGAATGATTTTTGGCATAAAAGAAAAATCAATAATTTTGACCCATACAATGTATTGTTGGCTATTGCTACAAATATACCCCAGCGACTTAACACTGCTTTTGTGCTGCAGGGTCACATATAATGATAATAAATGTGCATTTATGTTTTTTTTATGAAATGATGCTCTAAATATGAAACTAAAAGTGCCAGTAGGTGCCGGGTAAATCTTAATGAGTGAGTCATTGAATCATCCATTCAACCGATTCGTTCAAACAGCTGATTCATTCAGAAAGCAAAGTGAACTGTTTTTATGAATGAATCACTGACTCACTCGATTCATTCAGTGAGGAATCACCGCTGTGTGTTGTTCAGACTCTCAACAGTTCTACTGTGGCGTAGATTGGGACTATTTTCGTTTGCAAAATCGAGCAATAATGATAATATTGTGTCTAAAATTTAACACAATATTATCTTCTTGCTTACTAAACTGTTGTATAAATCAATGGTGCAGATATTGGGGAGAAACGGCACTCTTGCTGGTGTGATATTGCTGAACTATATCATATGATAGAAATATAAGAGGGTGATTTTTGCGCTCATATCTTGAATTTTAGGCTCACATGTGTCCCTGCAGCACAAAAGCAGTCTTAAGTCGCTGGGGTATATTTGTAGCAATAGCCAACAATACATTGTATGGGTCAAAATTATAGATTTTTCTTTTATGCCAAAAATCATTAGGATATTAAGTAATGTTCCATGAAGATATTTTGTAAATTTCCTACCGTAAATATATCAAAACTTAATGTTTGATTAGTAATATGCATTGCTAAGAACTTCATTTGAACAACTTTAAAGATGATTTTCTCAATATTTAGATTTTTTTGCACCCTCAGATTCCACATTTTCAAATATTGTCCTATCCTAACAAACCATACATCAATGGAAAGATTATTTATTCAGCTTTCAGATGATGTATAAATCTCAATTTTGAAAAATTGACCCTCAAGACTGGTTTTGTGGTCCAGGGTCACACATCACTGTATTCTAATAGACTCCTCACGTTCATCATGATCATCAGACTGCATCAGTGTGAGATGACAGACAGCTCTGGATGAGGCGCTGCGTTAAACGCCTTAATCGTTTTAACTCATTTTATCGCACCAAACTAACCGGTTAAACCGACAGCCCTAGTCTGGATGTCTTCCGCACCTGCAGAGGGCAGTGGTGAGCCGACAGGCGGCATCTCGCTCCACGTCTGCGACTCCTCCGTCTCTCTGCTTGGCCATATGATGGAACTGCAGTCTGGCGTCTTCTCCGCTTCTGGGATGCCCGAGCCGGTCACCGCTACCTTCGCTGGGCCTGGTTCCTGAAATCAAACATATAACATCCACTGTTTCATCACTCGCCGTTTGTTTCCATTAAAATGTGGACGTGGAAAATGAAATTTGTGACCCGTGCAAAATGAGTCGGATCTGGATACACACTACCGGTCAAAAGTTTGGGATCAGAACGATTTTTAATGTTTTTTTACAGGAGTCTCTTCTGCTCAAGGCTGCATTTATTTGATCAAAAATCCAGGAAAAATGTAATATTGTGAAATATTATTATGATGTAGTGCAGCACAACTGTTGATAATTATAATAATAAATCAGCATATTAGAATGATTTCTGAAGATCATGTGACACTTTATACTGGAGTAATGATGATGGAAATTCAGCTGCGCATCACAGAAATAAATTATATTTTAAAGGATATTAAAATAGAAACCATTATTTTATATTGTAATAACATTTTGCAAGATTACTGTTTTTTTCTGTATTTTTGATCAAATAAATGCAGCCTTGATGAGCAGAAGAGACTTCTTTAGAAACATTACAAGTCTTACTGATCCCAAACTTTTGACCGGTAGTGTACACAGAATTACAGTATTTCTGTCTTGGCGAGTATTCCTACAAACATATGTCTTAAATGAACGTTTGGTTAACTGTTGGGGAAAAACATCTGATGTGTAACATTATATTAGATCCTAAGTCTTAATATATGGGCCGTCTGTCTCATTAATGTGAATCGGTTACACTTTATTTTAAGGTGTCCTTGTTA